TCCAGGTTTCTACTGGACCTGCATTCCCACCTTGGATCCTAGAACCTAGGCCTGGGTTGTTCTTACTCTTGGGTGTCCAGAAACGTCCATGTCCCAGAAATGGGCTGGAGTCCTGGTATGAAGTGAGTTACCACCTGGACTCCTGTTTCTTAACTAGGTTCTTCCAACTAGAGCTTCTAGAATGTCTGTGCACACCCGGGACAAGCAGAGTTAGAATAACCTTGGGACTGTGACCACTGTAGTGTGGAGATGCTCCCTAGGGCACAATTCTCCCATGGCTGCAGTTAGCCTCGGTCCCCTAACCTTGTCAGATGCAGAGTCCTGCTATCTCCATTGGTCTGTGATACAGACGCTGTATGATGCTTTATGCTCACCTTCCAATACTTCTATCCCCTGAATACTAGGTAGGCAAAAAAACTAAAATTAGATCAAGTAAATATATTTAAAGAGAAAGAAGCTGGTAGCAAAGGGAGGGACAGAAAACAAGAAACTAGAGGGAGGGGGGTATGAAAAATCAGGTAGAAATAGGAAAGGCAATTTATGTAGAGTTGGTAGGTCATGGTGACATTTCAGCTAGCTCAATATGGCTGAGGCCAGACTGTCCTACTCTTCAAGTACAGATGTTTAAATCTTGCAAATTCAAAGTAATACAAAAAAAAAAAAAAGAATATGGTTAATACCATAAAGATTTCCTTTCTATTCCAAGGTTGAAGCAGTTGAGAACTAGAAAATAATAGTACATAGATTTAGGGGTCTTTAAAGACTGAGACACAGTGCTACAGAGGAGGGACAGGAGTAGAGGTTAGATGATAAGGTTCAAAGAGGTAAGAACTAGTGAAGTCAAGACATGCAAGCAAGGACTGGGATTTTCTTAAAGAACTCTAAGGAAAATAGTTAAATATGAGAAAATGGTAAAAAACAGTAGTCTTATGCTTTATTTTCTTTCTAGGCTGTAGAACAGAAATACATTTTTCTACAGACTGAGGGGACGGAACAAGTGGAGAAGAGACACTAAATGTACCAAAATTTAAAAAAAAAAAAGAATTACTAATCAAGCAAATGCCCAGGGCAAATGGGAAAAGTAAGAAAAGTTACAAGTAGAAAGCTTAAAGTTATAGGACTCTATCTCTATCTCTATCTTATCTATCTTTAATTATCTGATTTAAGAGAACATAAAAAACTTAAAAAGGGAAATAGCTATTAATTATAAAGACTGGGTCATGAATAGTGTTCATTTACATTTTTTTAAAGTATCTTCACCTACAAAAGAAGCTTCAAAAAACAAGATACACTATATGTTCTCTTTAAGATAGAAATTCTGTAGGGATAACTTTTAATTTTCCTCTACCCTCCTGTTAAAAGTTTTCTGGCAATCAAAATTGACATTATAACAGGATTTACTTCTGAGTAGTCATTATATTTTTAAAAATTCTTTTTAGTATTCCTTAGTAGTTTCACTAGATAAAATTAACCACCTGGAGCTGCCACATTTTAAACGGAGGCTGATTTTTCTATTGATTAGTGATCATTTTCTTTTTGCTGTTTTAACATTAGAGACTCTCTTGACAGTTTCAAGTTGTTAAAAATACTGTGTTTTTTTCTTCATTCTTTTGCTTCATGAATCACTACATCAACTATTCATGTAGGCGGAAGAATAGTGCCAGAAAATAGGTCACCATGCATTGAGCCATAATTCTAACTACCCAGATAGAAAAATCACTCCTGTAACTTTACATAAGTTAATGTAAAAATACTAATTTTTACCTTGTTCTTAGTCAACCATCAAACTTTAAGTCACTTCTGCATCCTATCTTCCATAAAACTGAGTTTGGTACACTGGCAACTAATATGAAATGTGTTTCACATTCAACATTAGAGCATGCTAGCCATGCTGATGATGAAACTGTATATTTCTACATTTCTTCTCACTTCAGGATCTCAAACATTCTTTGCTTTTTAAAATCTCCATCGTACTGGCAAGCCATTAAACCAAACATCAGGAAGGGATATTGCCAGAAAAACAAGTCACAGGAAGTTTGAATGAGTTTCCCACCCAATGTGGTATTGATTTGTTTAATATCTGAAAATAGCATTTAGGATTCAAGACAGATGTCTGAATTCTAAACCAATTTCAAGTCAATATGCCTAGGGAATAAAAAAAAAAACTCAAAGTATTCATTATGCAACTACAGAACAGAAATGTATAATTCTGTGACAAAGAGAAGGAGAACATTATTTTTAGTGAAAGAATTTCCAATATCATGAAGGACTATGTAGGTTTGCTGATATCAAATAATAGAAAATTTACAATTGGATATTTACCTACTATCTTGTCATATTCAATAATACTTTATTAGCATTACTACTTTTGAGAGAGTATTAAAATTTCATTTACTAAATTTTTAGGGAACCACACCAAATGGAATTACTATCTATAAATTACCAATTTACATGGCTCTACATGTTGATTTTTGTCAACCAATACATTTAATAATGAAATATTACTTGGTTAATATATTTAGCTAATATATAATTATTTAACATATACTTAGCATAAGAAAAATTACTTAGTATAATAAAATAGAGTAGTTAATATGCCATGTTCTATTAAAAAAATTATATTCATGTATTTCCTTCCCAAAACCTTATTTGTCTAGTGTATTGCTACAGTTATAAAACACAAAAAACAAAAAAACACCAGTTGAAAGTTTAATATATGTCAACATACTTTGTGAACAGATTTTTCCCACATGGCCTTAAGTTATAGTTTAGTTTATTGCCCAAAGCTCATACTACAATGATGCCTTGATTGTTAAGTTCATTTTGAGCAAAAGCTCTCATTGAGGCGATTCTAGATACACAGACAGGAAAGCTGGAGTCCTCACACTTGGGCAGAAGGTGGCAGCAGCTGAAGGGTCTGACTGTTTTTCAAGGGTGTTCTTTGTATGCTATGCTTCTACTCTATTACTGGGTCCTCATGGGTTTTATTTACTTTTTGACTGATTATAAAAAAAGCATTTGTGTCAAAATCTGACTAATCCACCTTTTAACAAATTTTAAAAAGTACCATTTCATAAAGTAATTTTGTATTTGAGATTGTTTTGCAACTTTCTATTCTGTTTAACTGATTAGGCATTTTTTGGTCTAATGCACACTATTAAAATTAATGTAGCATTATAATGTTTTAATATCTGAGTATACAACACCTGCTCATTTTTCATTTCCTTAATATTTGGGCTTTTTCACTCTTATTCCAGAAAGAAACTTTTATCATCACTCTGTCAGGTTGAAAAAGAACTCAGAATTTTTATCGGGATTGTCTAACCATTATAAAAATTAGAGTCAATAGTTTTCCTACCCAGGATCATGTCATCATTTGCCTAAAAGTACAACTTACTACTCAGTGATTTTTTTTTTTCCTTTGGTCCTCCACGTTTGTATCAGGATTATTTCTAATACAGGAAGTAAATAAATTAAGGAATATAATAAAGCCAACAAATTATTGTCATTTTTGTCAATAGAATCTGTTTTTCTTCTACACTTTTGCACTTGGGAAATCTATTGTCTTCTGTTATGCTTATTTTAAAACTGATAACCTTACTGAACTCTATTAGTTCCAATGGATTTTCAGTGGTCTCCTAAAGCTTTGTGAATTACATTTTAAGCCCCAACTTCTGCTGTAAATGCTTTAAATTATATTTAATTATTACAAAAAAACCTAGGGAACAGTATACAGTCTAAGCTATATATATTTTGACTAACAAAAAAGAGGAGACCCCTGTGAAAACTGCAAATGGCTATCTTAATTGTTATAATTATTCCTCCATTGTATCTCACAGCTTTATGTCTTTAGCAATCACTGTTTTGTTCCTGATCCGCTTTGCTAGTCAGTCATCCCCTGCCAAAAATTCATGTCAACAGATCCAAAAGCAAGCTCATCATCTTTCTCCATAGCTGTTAAGCAATCTATTTTTCTCTTATGAATTCCTGTAATAAGTGTTTTATCACTTAAAAGGTATTTAACACATTTTACTTTCCCATTTCCCTACAGGAAAATACAATCTGTGAAAACAGATACAGATTATTTTAAATCTTGGGCACCTGGGTGGCTCAGTCGGCTAAGCATCTGTCTTTGGCTCAGATCATGATCCCAGGGTCCTGGGACTGAACCCCATATTGGACTCCCTCCTCAGTGGGGAGCCTGCTTCTCTCTCTCTCTTGTTCCCCCTGCTTGTGTTCTCTCTCTCCTTCTGTCATATAAATAAATAGAATCTTTAAAGAAAAAAAGATTCTTTTAAATCTTGGTAGCTCTCACAACACATGTAGGCTCTCACACTGAATACAGGATGAACTCAGATGAATTCCAGCTTCCTATAGGTGGGCCTATATCCTGACCCAAGGAAAGTAAGGGGTATTAATTACATGCATCCCTCTCATTCACTTTGATGCCATCCTCCCATTGTTTCCCTCATTGAGACACAACCCCAGAAACAGCGGGTGCAGAATGTGGGTCATTCATGGGTCCAACATGGGGTGCTACCCAGAGGAGCTGATTCTAGAGAGACAAGGATCCCATGTGGGATCAGAGGACAACAGAGTATGTCATAGATTTAAAAGGAAGACACTGAAGAAGACACTTCACCCAGTGTAACACAGAGGCAATCTAAACCTACACTGCCTATGACATTAGTCCTTTTAATCATCCACATGATGAACTGTCGCAAAAATAACTAGTGGTATAGGAAACTAAGAGTTTACGGGGTTTCTGCTTGCATAAGATCAGGTCCTCTTAAACACAGTTGTAAGATCCTTAAAATACAAGAAAACTAGGCTCTGCCCCTATGCTGGATTCCTAATAACAAACACATTATGTAGTTCACCTTATTATCACAAGCCTTGAAGAAGGGTAAATCCATGTATACTATTGTGGCCCTTCATCCCCAAATAATTTCTTTCAATGCAAGTGTATACTCCTCTGTGTGCATCACTGGGATACTTACATCAAACTCATTCAGAGCTGCAGCCAGCTCGCCGATGCCTGTGTGGCCTTTGGCTTCATCAGTGGGCGAGGTAGCTTGAGCAGCATTGGAGATGCCAGCAATGGCCTCCTGGACTTGTTTAAATACATAATCTCGATTGGCTCTCGTGGCAGCAACATCCGGGTGGCGGAGAAATGCTTGGGAGGCTGTGTACAGCATCGTGGCATTTTTCTTCAGAGCCCCTCGGGCAGCTGCCATCTCATCCCGACAGTGAGGGTCCTTCAGCTCCTGTGCACGCAAAATAGGAAACTTGTCACATCCACGAAGTTTGCCACAGAAGCATTTGTTCTAGAACTTAGAGTCACAAACTAAGTTTTATAAACTATACTGAGTTTTATAAACTATCTATTCTCCCCTGTGCTTACTCTAGATGCCAGGACTTTGCATATAATATTCTTTCTGTATGAGACACCTGAATACCCCTCCTCTACCTACCCTTTCACCTGACATGGCCCATCCTCTTGGAGCATACTCCATCCAATTTCCTAAGCTATACTCCCTTCTATCTGCTCCCACAAGCCCCTATCCCCTCCTTTCATCAAAATTTATTATACTTTATTGCATTTACTTGAACATGTTTCCCTCCTGTATTTTGTCTACTGATAGCAGGAAGCCTTGTCTATCTTGCTTAGCAGCTCTTAACTCATTAGCAGTGTTTGGCTCATAAAAGGCACTCAAATATGGTTGGGAAAAATGTAAAAACCAAGCTACCTTGTCAGTAGCTTGCGTGGAACAGTGTTCTCAGCAGATAGAAAACCCAAACTTCAGTCTCTGCTACTGCTTGCCTCCCTATTCAATTACAATTACAAACATTGGCAATCAGACTCTTCTGAGTTTTGCTTAGTCCATCACTACCTCTTCATTATCATTTCTGGAATATTTTTTTTTTTTTTTAAGATACCTTTAATGGCAGCTCAGTCATTGAGTTTAGGGAATAAAAAAAGACCAAAGATGATTTGTCTTCCTAGTTTTGGCTGTCAAAATACCACCAGTGGGGAGTCTTTTGATCTTCAGCTTTAAAGAATATTGTTAAGAAAATGTTCACATCATTTATGGAAATGTTAAAGACAGTGCTGCTCTCTGACACTACGTAGGATTGCCAGCTGAGGAAAAATCTCAGAATTTTTTTTTCCAGCTTCAAAATATCATAAAAGGTTATTTGAACCACTGGGGTTCAATTTCTATTTGTTCATTCAGTCTGTAGTACATAAATGGCTTGGCAACAATGACATTCTCTCTTTTATTGGTCAAAATAATCATCAGACAGGCACATTATATTTTTTATCTAGGACTGTAAAGACAAATTGACACTAAGTAACAATTAACTGAACCAACTGTCCTTTTTTGTTTATGTACTAACAAATTCATGCCAGTCACAACGTGATTTCTTTTTTTTTTTTTTTTAAGATTTTATTTATGTATTCATAGACACACAGAGAGAAAGGCAGAGACACAGGCAGAGGTAGAAGCAGGCTCCATGCAGGGAGCCTGACGTGGGACTCGATCCTTGGTCTCCAGGATCACACCCCAGGCTGCAGGCAGTGCCAAACTGCTGCGCCACCGGGGCCTGGCCTCAACATGATTTCTACTTTGGGGTTATTTTTAGTCTTGGCATGAACACAAATAGGCAACCAACACCTGAGTGTGTTCTATATGCTAGGCAATAATCTACGCACTGAAAGTAAGTTTCTCCTGACTAGTAGTGAAGGGCCTTTTTAACTTTCAGAACAGGGGTCTGGAAAGTGCATATGTTACTTTATACTATACTTATAAAAAAAAATCTACACGTGGAAGTGAGAGATGGATGGAGTCTCCCCATACAAATATTTGAGGAAAGATTTGTTAATTACATAAAAAACCTGCAAACAATCTAAATGTTGAATTATGAATTTGTTAAGTAAATGACTGAAGCATCTATTTGATAGACTGTGGATATAATAGTTTTCAATAAAAATAGATAATATTTATAAGACAAATGAAGGGATCCCTGGGTGGTGCAGCGGTTTGGCGCCTGCCTTTGGCCCGGGGCACGATCCTGGAGACCCGGGATCGAATCCCACATCAGGCTCCCAGTGCATGGAGCCTGCTTCTCCCTCTGCCTGTGTCTCTGCCTCTCTCTCTCTCTCTGTGTGACTATCATAAATAAATAAATAAATAAATAAATAAATAAATAAATAAATAAATAAATAAATTTGTTTAAGACAAATGAAAAAGCATAACACAATATGCCTATTTATATACAAAGTAGGATTATAAATATGTTAGAGTATGAAGATAAATAACTAAAAGGCATTATACCAAAATTGCACCATTTTTTCCCCTGAGTGGTAGAGTGTTATGTGTGTTTTTCCTTCCTCCAATTCTATTTTTTTCCCCTAAATTTTCTTGGAAGAGTCTAGCAGTTAATTAAAAACAAGGTTTTAATGAAATAAATTATATGTGTGGGTATTATATCAATATCTCAAAAAAATAAAAAAATAAAAAAATAAAAAATAAATAAATATCTCATACATTCCCATTGATTTTAATACCCAGCTATATATACTGATGACTGGTGTTTCCATCTCCAACCCATATCTCTCTTCTATTTGACATTTTTACATGGATAGCTCACAAGCATCTCAAAAGTCAGTGTATCTAAATATGAAATCTTAATTTCCATTCCCAACTGACCCAGTTTTCTCCATCTCTATAAATTCACTATCTACCCATTTGCTCAAACCAGAACCTTAGAACTCAACTGGTTGTTGCCACTTTCTAACCTGACACATCTAATTTAACATCAGGTCCTCAGAGCTCTATTTTCAAAATAAATCTTCTTCATTTCCACCACTACCAACTCATCAAGACCATCTCTCACCTAGACATCAGCCCCTCCCAACTATTGCTCTCTACTCTTCTACTCTCCTTTGTTCAGCATATCTAAAATATTAAAATGAAAAAAAAAACAAAAAAAAAATAAAAAAACAAAAAAAAAATAAAATATTAAAATGTAAATTTGAGACCCTGATGCCATACTTTGAACTATTCAAATACTACCCACCCGCTTAAAATCTAAAAATTTTCTATGACTGAATTTCTAGGCCCCTACCTTTCTTGCCAATTGTCCCTTCGGTTCACTAGGATCAGGATTCAATTTTTTCTCTTTTCTTTTCAGCTGTTTAAATAAGCTAAGTAGCTTTTTGGTCTCACATATGTGCTTCAGAGTAACCACTCCACCCATCTTATATTTTGGACTATTACACAAGATTCCACTTGATTTCTGCTAATTACAAAATACTTAAATATCATCATCTAAAATCACATCTCTGTCTCTCACACAAAAAAGTATTGTAAGCTTTTTAGGGGCAGGAACTAGATCTTCGTCAAATTTATAGTACCAGTATTCCTTCAACGTGTCAGAGATGAAGACTCAACACGTTTGTTGAATGGAACTTTCTTATTGGTCATAGACAATCTTAAGGCGCTAGGAATTGCCCCCAAATGTTGAATTCTAGGAACAGTCAAGAGGATGGGTGGAAAGGATTTTAACTGACCCCTCCACATTTGAAGAGGTTTTTTTCCTAGGGAAAAAATAAAAAACATACCCTTCAGAACAAAACTCTAATAGTACTTAATGTGTAGAGCTGCTATCTTTAAAGGGAGACACAAGATCCCATGTGAGCCACCTTCATCAAAGTAACTCACACTCACCTGTGTTATATCCTATACCCCCCCCCCCATTTCTCTTTCTGCCTTTCCTTGATTTTATTTGCATTGTCTTCCTGGCTTTCATAAAGGTTTCACTCAACATGCTGCATATGCATTGTGGTGTCTATGGGGCTAGGAAATAAAAAGTAAGGCAAGTAAAGAGGTGGTGTTCAGAGAGCATCCATAGCACCACACAAAAGTTTGCTATTTTTTTTTTTCAACTGGGGAGTTTTTCCTACAGTGGAAAAAAGGTTAGAATGGTCCCCATCAGTCAGACAGGAGGCCAGTGACCTATTCTAGGTAGGTCTGAGAGTACCCCAGGGTCCACAATGGTATGAAAACTGGCCCATGTAGGACACAGCCTTTTTTTTTTATTATTTTTTTTAATTTATTTATGATAGTCACAGAGAGAGAGGGAGAGGCAGAGACACAGGCAGAGGGAGAAGCAGGCTCCATGCACCGGGAGCCCGATGTGGGATTCGATCCCGGGTCTCCAGGATCGCGCCCCGGGCCAAAGGCAGGTGCTAAACCGCTGCGCCACCCAGGGATCCCGACACAGCCTTTTTTGATCATAGATTCTAAAAGCATTTGATACTTAGATAACCAGCAGATGAGGCTGATCTGTTGTTCAGGCCTATAAAGCTAGGAAGTTACGTAAACATACATTTTCCAAAACTTCTCCCACCTGTTGTCTTCTTGCTGCTACATAGTTAAGTTTCACCATTTCTTTCCCAAACTCTTTAAAGCGATTTGCAAGGTCTTGCTCATTTGTAGCATTTTTGACAGCTTCCAGGGCCTCTTCCACCTGAGGTAATAAGAAACACTTATAAATGGATAGAATTGAAATATTAAACACATTGGAAATTGTAATTTGTAAAAAAAAATCAACAATTAGTATTTAAATAAAATAGGAGTACCCCTGATAAGCATTTATAATCAGAATATTTATTTATGATACACAGAATACTTTGTACCTGCGAGACAGCTGCAGAACTCTTGGAGCATTCGAACTATATTGACTATTTTACTGGGTTATGATTCTGATAAGGAATACAGACTTTTTTTTTTTTTAATACAGACTTCTAATTTCAAGTAGAAACATACAGGAAAATAGATCCAAGAAGAAAATATGGAATTTGAAAACAAATTCTAGAAATCTTCGGAGGAGAAAGTGCTTCAACAAAATCTGAAGGAACTCCTATAAATTTGAGCACACTTCAATCTGTAACCACACTTCTTGTCAACACCTCGGAAGCCAGAACAAAAGGGACTGTACTTGTAAGCTGAGTCTACACCTTGCCATCCACTATAAAGAGGAGCTACTGAATCTGGAAAAAGCAAGAGAATTTGAAGTTTTGTTGCAGCTGAAGGTGGCATCAAGCACACCTTCCTAATGATGTGTCCTGCTTCCAAATTCCTGCCAACTGTGTCCTGAAACTTTTCCAGAGAGACCCTGACTTCAGTTATGAATTTCACTAAGAAGTCCTTTATAAATGACTTGAGGAATGGGAGGTACTAAGCTCTCCTCTCCAGAATGATTTTAACTTTAACACGGTGAAGATTTCCACAGTTGGCAATGATTTAAGACTATAACACCTGTGGCCTCAATTAAAATTAAGATATTATGAAGTAACCAACTACGTCATTGTCAGTCACGCTGCATTACTGTAGGAACAATTTTATCAGAGGAAATAACCAAGAACAAAATTTGAGTGAATAAGACACAGATAGGTGTTTGCAAAATCAAAAGTTCTTCTATATGAAAAGGGAGCCTAGTAGAGAGGCTTCCACTAGTGCAGGCTTTTGATAGAATATTAAAAAGAACAGGCAGCTTAGAAACAGTAATGTGAAATGCAGAAAATGGGGGCCTACCACAGAATTCTGATTAGTTCTTGTAGTTTGAGGCAAATCAAAAGAAAACATACAGGGAGTTCTTTGTTTGACAATGTAGAAATCCACAAGTATCACTGGAAAAAGAACTGTTGTGTGTAAGGATGCTTTTTTAGAGACTCAAATCAAGTTACATTTTATGGTATGGAATGGGCCATATAAAGCATTTTCATAGTTTAATTAGAATATCATACCTCAAACTCTTTAAAACAACTAATCAGTAATGTCTCACTTCCTAAATAGATTTATAATTATCTTAACATGGCTATCAACAGCATCACTGAGAGGACAGCTCTTGGCAGTAAATTTGTTCCTGCTGCTTATTTAAACTGTAAATCTTTCCTGCGGACATAAAAGCTGGTTCCAGGGAAGAGCAAAATAATTATCTCTGAGGGAGCTAAATCTTGGATTTGTTCTAATATATATAAAAACTGTCTTCTTACCCATTATTAATCAGACCACTTTGGAGTATTGTGTTACACCTAACATTTTCTCATTGGTTTTCTTTGAAGAATCCAGATGCTAGGTTGAATTTATGTTTCTAATTCAATCAAGTTTTTGTTTTTTTGAGAAACACCAATGATGGAGTCTGTCTGTGTAAAGGTCGACTTAGCCATACTTAGAGTTTTAATCTAGAAGGATCTGAGAGGTCACCTAGTAGAAAGTTCTCACCATAGAAACATGGAAGAAACGGGCCCAAAGTTGGGGTGGGGGGCAGTGAAAGAAGACAAATGGGATTGCTGAAGGGATATGAAGGCAAAAAAAAAAAAAAAGAGAGAGAGAGAGAGAGAGAAAGAGAGTCACCAGGCACTTTTGATTTTTATATTCATTTGGAGTTCTCAAGCTTTTATTTTTGAATAGAGCCAAAATTTTCTTTCTTTCTGGATGTCTGGGTTAAAGGAATTTGACTCCATATAAGCCAAACAAACACCGTAAAAAGCAGTTCTTTTACAGAAGAAGAGCCTGGGCCACTTTTCCCAAAAACTTTCTCTACCTCTCTGCACCCCACAGTGTTAGATCTAAGTCAGTATGTGTGAGGAGGGCTGTGAGTCAGGCTGCTCTTGTCTGAACCCCAGCTATGCCATTTGTCTGCCTTGTGATCCATGTAAGCCATCCATACCATGGCTATGTATCACTGGCCTAACGATCCTAATTCAACTGGGACAGATTGACCTCATTCCAGGGTCCTAGTAAGGATATTGAGTTGAGAGGATTTTAAGCGACATTGATGAAAGTATTTAATAAGTCACATATAACTCTCTTATTAAGGATCTGGTTTTATCACTAAATTAAAAATATTATATTGGGGGCACCTGTTGGTTAAGCAACCTCTGACTCAATCTCAGCTCAGGTCTTGATCTCAGGGTAGTGAGTTCAAGCCCTACAATGGGTTCAATGCTGGGCATGGCTACTTAAAAAAAAAAAAAAATTAAATACCTTGGAAATAGTAGTTGCCTAAGTTAATACATGAGTGGATATAAGATTCTACATCTTATTACTTTACTTGTTAGCCATGTACTCTGGTTTGGCCACTGGTATCTCAGTATCATATTTTATGTCTCTGCCTCCTAAAGCTGGCCTTCTTGATTAGATAGTCTTTTTCCTTGATAAGCTGCCCCTCCTGATTAAATTTTGTTTTCTTGTTAACAAGAAAATGATTTCATCAGAAAGCAAGAATGATTAAATCCTAGCGTCATATATTCTTAAATTGTCATGTTTAATGAAGCACAACAGTAATATAGCTTATATTTCCAAAGTTATTTTCAGCTGGTGCAAGAAAAAATGACACTTGTCAGTGTCATTGAGTACTTATGAGATGTATCAGACACTGTTCTAAATGGCTTACATATACCTAATTTCGTCCCAGAAAACAGCCCTTTGCAATTGATAGTTGTCCTTTTATTTTATTTTATTTTATTTTATTTTATTTTATTTTATTTTATTTTATTTTATTTTACTTTACGGGAGAGAGACTGAAGTCAGAGTATACAGAGGCTTCCTGAAAGGCCTCACAGCAAGTGAGTAGGGGACCCTGGGTCTAAACCAAGATAGTTTGCTCTAGAGTTCATGCTTTTAACTTCCCAGCTCTGTTGTCTCAGTTTCCCAGAAAAGGATAGGTTTATAAAGTGGATGGGAGTTTGGGTTTGGATTCTACTGATCAACCGGTTACAAATACAAAGAGCCTTGCCCCATCTGATAAGTCTCTGGGTTTTAGTCATCCCACCTCTTTAATATCTTTAAAATTGGCCTCCTTTTCACAATACACCCTGCCATTGACTTCACCCAGCTTTTCTTTTATTCATTGGCCTGGATAAGCTCAATGGTCTCTTCATCAGTCTCCTTATTTGGACTCATCTCTCTTCTAATTGTTTCTCCACATTGCTACCAAAATTATTTATCTAAATCACAGCTCTGATTCTAATGTTTCTTGATGGCTACCTACTTGATGGCTACTTGATGGCTCTCTATAATCTACACATAGAGCCCAAATGAATCATCATGTTCTCTGAGGCACATGTATCTATCTCCCTGTCCAACTTTCTTAGTGCCTCTCCCACCCTGCCCTCCATGCTCCAACAAGACAGAATCAATTATATCATTGAAAATACCCCAAATCCCTTCTCTTGCTCTCATGCCTTTGTTCTTTCCCTTGGTTTGTGAAGCTCTCTGTAGCTGATGTCTATTGTCTGACTTGAATATATCTTCTTTCTTACGGCAGGAGCACTCCCTTTGCATTCACTAACTACTCTTTCCCTGGGCTAGTTATCAAATCCAAATTCACACCTCTATCTGCTCTGTCAAAACATGGCTAGGCCTTTTAAATATTATTCCTTTCCCATTTGGCATGATGTTAAGCCTTGTTAATAGAGAGTGCTGGTTGGCAATCGAGGAGGGAAAGGCTTTGTTTCTTGGTTTTGGTATGCTCCCGCCAAGAGTTCTACAGCAGAAGTAGCCTCTTCACCACTAGGTGGCCAGCAGCTTCCCTTAGCATGGTCCACTTTGGATGATGCTATAGTGGAATGCTCCTAGTGAGACACCTCTCAATGAGCATTTTTCCTTGAGGCCCTAAGGGCAGATTTCCAGCAAGTTCTATTAGCTTGTGTGGCACCTCAGTAATCTCTCTGTCATCAAGTGAAGACGTAGGAAGATCTATTCTTGGCCCTGGCTCAGGGTGATGGGGAAGGTCTCCCTGAAGTCCTGTATCTCAGTCCTTGGGGTGGCAGCTGCTCCTTGTATTTGCCATCCTTGTTTTTTAGAGTTCTTTGTTACTCGGTCTCTTATGACTCTAATCTGCTATTGGAGTTAATGATTCCTCATAATAAACTCTCCTTGCTGAAATCACTGTGTAGTTTCAATCTTATTATTGCACAGAATGATACATCCCCCAACTCTCCTAATGGGACCAACTTATTTCCAGTCACCCTCAACTTTTAGGCCCCAGCTTAGGCTTGGGCTTGTGACCCCAACCTGTTCAATCTAATCCAAGAAATTGGTCTGGGAAAGATAATTCTCATTCAATTTAATGAGACTCAATCCTGAGACCTCCTTCTCCCAGCCACATCACTCTTCCTCATTTCTTTTTAAAGATTATTTATTGATTTATTGATTTATTCCTGGGAGACACACAGAGAGAGGCAGAGACATAGGCAGAGGAGAAGCAGGGTCCTTGCAGGGAACCCAGTGCAGACTCGATCCCAGACCCCAGGTTCACACCCTGAGCCAAAGACAGACACTCAACCGCTGAGCCACCCTGGCGTCCCCACCCTTCCTCGTATTATCTTCAAATGACCACCATTATAATTTGGTTGAACTGATCCTATATGGGGCTTATTAGGGGATGGTGAAGGAAAGGAATAAGTGCTAACCAAATTTTAAAAATCAGCACATCTCCTTCCCTCTCTAAATAATTAACTC